AAAAAAAAAAAAAAAAGAAAAAAAAGCATATCTGAAACTAGGTAGCTTATAAAGAAAAAGGGTTTATTTAGCTCACAGTTCTGCTAACTGAGAAGCTCAAGAGCATGGCTGTGATTCCTAGCAAAAGATTTTGTTCTGTGTCACAACATGGCAGAGAAAGTCAAAGGAGAAGCACAGGTATAAAGATGAGAAACCTGAGGAGGGTCCTGAAATTATAACAACCCACTCTGAGGGGAATGAATCCATCACTGGGAGAACGAATCCAATTGCCCAGGAGTGAGAGTGAAAACCCATTCACTATTACAAGAATAGCACCAAGCCATTCATGAAGGATCTGCCTACACAACTCAAACATGTCTCAACACCATCGCATTGGGGATCAAAGTTCAACATAAGTTTGGTGAGGACAAATAAACCATATCCAAACAACAGCAGCAGGGATGAGAGGCTTCATTAATCTGGAAAGGTTTCCATATGAGCAAAATGAGATGGCTAGATTGGCACTTAGTTCAAACAAAGTAGAGAGAACAGGAGTAGGCCCTATGCAAACTCATAAAAATGGTAAGATTTTAAGCTTGAGAAGACCTCACTGATATCCAACTGTCCATAGATTTGCCTCTTCAGGACACTGCTTATAAATGCAATCATATAATATACTGGCTATTTTCACTGGCTTTTCACTTAGCAAATGTTTCCAATTTCATCCATGATATGGCATATGTCAATACTTCATTTCTTTTTATTGCCAAGTAATATTCCATTGTACGGATATACCACATTTTGCTTATCACACATCAGATGATGGACATTTCAATTGTTTCCCCTTTTTGTTGTTATAAATTTTTTTGCCCAGCAAATTAGATAATCTACATGAAATGAGCAAATTCCTATAAAGACACAAACTACCAAAACTGACTCATTAAGAAATGTTTAAATTTCGGTAGAATTATAACAAGTTAGACAAAATCAGTAATCAAGAAAGTAAGAAAAGCCCAGAACTCTATGACTCCACAGGTGAATATTACCAAACACTTAAAGAAGAATTAACTCCAATGCTTCTCAAACTTCTAAAAAAAACCAGAACAAATCCAAACTAATTCTTTGAGGTTGGTATTACTGTAACTCCAAAACTAGACAAACGTATCACAGAAAAAAAACTACAAAGAATATCCCTGATGAATACAGATGCAAAAATCTTCAACAAAATACTAGCAAACCAAATCTGATAGCATGTTAAATTGATTATTTACAAAGGCCAAGTCGAATTTATTAAAATAAAAACAAAATAAATCCAATAAGCAAAAAGGGAGGGTGGTTGAACATGTGAGAATCAATTACAGAATAAACTAAAACTTTGGACTGTGGTTGATGATGATGTGTTGAAGTAGGTTTATCAACTATAACAAATGTACCTCTCTGGTGTTGGATATATTGATAATGGGGGAAACTGCATGTGGGAGGTTGTCAGGTGGTATACAGAAGCTCTGTAATGTCTACTAAATTCTCCTATGAACCTAAGACTGCTCTAAAACATAAAGTCTACTAAGAAAAAAAAAAAGGGGGCGGGGGCAAGAATCTGAGTAGGTTATTTCCAAAGGAAGATACACAAATGGCCAATAAACACATGATATTCAAGATCGTTAGTCGTCGATGCAAATAAAAACGCCAACATCAAACCACTAGATTGGCTATTAAGGTAAAAATAGAAAACAAGTATGACAGGAATGTGAAGAACTTGAAAACGTCATACATTATGGGTAGGAACCTAAATTGGTACAGCCACTATCAAAAACAGGGTGGCAGTTTCTCAAAAAGGTAAACAGAATTACCATGCAACTAAGCAATTCAACCCCTACGTATATATACCCAACCAGAAGAAGTGAGAATCCCTCTGTTCACAAAAAGCTTGTTCACAAGCATTCATAGCAACATTTTTCTTAGTAGTGTAAAAGTGGAAACAATAAAAATGTCCATAAACTGACAGATAAATATAATTGGGTATATCCACCCAATGAAAGATTCATCACTGACAAGAATGAGGTACTGATGCATGCTACAACATGGATAAACCTGGAAAACATATGCTAAGTCAAAGAAGCAGACACAAAAGGCCACATATTATATGATTCTGTTTATATTAAATGTCAAGAATAGGCAAACCCATAGAGACAGAAAGCAGACTGTTAGTGGTTACCACTGAAGAGCAGAAGAGATATGGAGTGACTGCTTAAGAAGTATGTGATTTCCTTTTGGGGTGATGAAAATGTTCTGGAATCAGATAGTGGTAAGAGATACACAGCATTGTAAATATACTAGAAGCTACCAGATTATATACTTTTAAGTAGTTAAGATGATGAACTTTATGTTACAGGAATTTTTCCTCAGCTAAAAAAAAAAAAAAAACCCTGAAACAAATTTAAATTCACTCAGCAACATATTCACATGATCATAAATCCTTTCAGTATTCCTTTTTTTCACCTACAGTTCCATGCATCTTTTGGTATTCTTATATCTGTCTATTCAAAACCTAGATCTATAAACAGCAAGCAGAAAATTCACAACTGCAACATCATTAACAGTTATAAGACAAATTCTTAGTTCTAGCTACTAAAAGAAACAAACAAAAGGGAAAAAAAGCCATGTAATAATCTTAAAAGACAAGCTTATACTGATGACTGTACTCACTTTTAAGTGCAAGTAAACCCAATTATTTGAGTAAGCTGACAGGAATAAAAACATAAATTAACCCTGTCCTGGAAAGCAGCAGTGACTCACCAAGCTTCTCTGGCTCATCAGGCCCTGTGCCCGCAATGCAGCTGCTCTCCAGGCCGTAGGTGGGATCCACTTTCCCAGAGGCTCGTGCTGCTTCTTGTACTTTCTTGACATGAGCTTCAACCAATTCCAGTGGTACCTCCTCCCGGACCCGAGAAAATTCCTCTGGTTCAAGAATAAAAATGGAATGGCAATCTAATTTTGCAGAAAAATTTGCTTCAATGTAAAACCACCACCAGAAAACCCAACACAATATTATTGTCTTAGGTGTAGCAACCTCTCCAGGCTCTCAGTCCCTCTATACCAGCAAAATGAGAGGACTAAATGAGATAAAAATAGACAATAATAAAATTCTATGACTTCAGGTTTTATCCTACACATCACAGTGCCTTGAAATAAAAGATACCTTTCAACTTATACCAATAATAATGAAAATTGCTGTCCATATTTAACTTTGCTTACTAGATTAATAAATCAAAGAAACAAAAACAAGAACTAAACATCTATAAAAACAAAAAAGAGTTCTATGATGTGAGAAAGTTCTAGTTATAATTAACATGTCATCCATAAATATTAAATGACGTCCCTTTGCTAGTTATATCAAATTCTAAATTAATCACAAAATATACAATAAAAAACCTCTTTATGGTAACCCTCTACATAGTGTTGGAGTTAAAAAAAAAAAAAACAAAAAAAAAACCTCTGTCCCTCCAATTCCTGAGGCTCTTAATTTTAAGGTGCATTATTTCCAAACACTTTTATAAAGAACATGGTAATATGGTACTTTTATGGGTAATATCTGATTTTTGTTATTCATATTTTTAAAAAATGAATGTAACAGCTGGTAATATTTAAATTCAGTTTTTCTGCTGAGGAGATGGTTTAGGGAAGTCCATACCCAAAGCCGCTTTTGCTGCAGCAGATGCCACACGAGGGTCCACCACGGATGCCAAAAAAGCCACAGTACTCATGACTGGATTTCCTGACTGACTAAAGGGGACAGGCTGGTAGGCCAAAGGCCCAAGGGAAGCATCTGAATTCTCAAGGTATGGGTCCTCAATGGGAAGTCTCAAAAAGTGGAGGATACATTCATCCTGAGTACGACTTCCAACATGTTCTGACACTTTATTCCAATCATCCTTGTACATCTCCAGGGCCTAAAATAGAAAAACCAGAAGCTTTCATGTCAGGTAACAAGAAAGTAATGTGTAATATTACAGGTTTTTTATACAGGTGTTTCAAAAAAAATTAACGCAATATATTATACATAAAGAAATAGATTTGATGGCTTTACTTATATTAGGTTTTCAATCAGGTGAGAAACAATAAATAAAAGGCATGCATACTAGAAAGAAATAAGTAGGCCAGGTGCAGTGGCTCAAACCTATAATCCCAGCACTTTGGGAGGTTGAGGTGGGTAGATCACCTGAGGTCAGGAGTTCAACAACATGGCCAACGACATGATGAAACCCCATCTCTACTAAAAATACAAAAATTAGCCAACACAGTGGTGCATGCCTGTAATCCCAGCTATTTGGGAGATTGAGGCACAATAATCTCTTGAACCTGGGAGGCAGAGCCTGCAGTGAACTGAGATCATGCCACTACACTCCAGCCTGGGCAATAAGAGTGAAAAGAAAGACAGGAAGAAAGACAGAAAGAAAGAGAGGGGGGAGGGGAGGGGGGAGGGAGAGGGAAAGGGGCAAGGGAAGGGGAGGAGAGGGGAAGAGAAGGCAGGGGAGGGGAAGGAGGGAGGGAGAAAGAGGGAGGGAGAGAGAAACACAAAGAGAGAGACAAGACACAGAAAGAAGAGAGAGAAAAAAAGAAAGAAAAAAGAAAGAAAGGGAAAGAAAGAAGGAAAGAAGTAAAACTTTTTTTAATACAGACATGACTGTTTATATAGAAAATTCTAAGGAAGCTATAAAAAAAAGTACTAAAACTAAATAGCTGAGCAAAGTCACAGGATAGAAGAACAGAAAAACTCAATTATATTTCCATACATAATAACAATGAACAATTTTAAACAGGAAGAAAAAGGTATTTAAAATAACCTAAAAGCTGGGTGTGGTGGCACATATCTATAGTCCCAGGTACTCAGGGAGCTGAGGTGAGAGGATCTCTTGAACCAAGGAGTTAAAGGCCAGCCTGACAACAGAGCAAGACCCTGTCTTAAACAGCATAATGAAATATTTAGGAATAAACATAATAAAGTATGCATATGAGCAACATGAGTAAAACATGAGAGAACTCAAAGACCTAAATAAGATAAAGAATGATATATTGTGTTCATTCACTAGAAGTCTCAATATTAAGATGTCAATTCTTTTCCAAGTTGAACTGCAACAGATTCAATACAATCTCAGTCACACTCCAAGTAGGTTTCTTTTTAGTAGAAATTGATAAACTGTTTCTAAAATGTATAAAGTACATAATTTCTAGTTTTATAATGTTTTCAGAGAAAATCCTGAAAACAAACAAACAAAAAGAGTAAAATGAGTCTCCAAGGGAAAAACCGATAGAATGGTAGAAAGAAAACCACAACTACGTGGTGCTAAGAAAGTTGAGGAATTAATTGGATAAAAAGAATTTATTTAGTGACATGCTGAAGTTGCTACTCTCACACCATTCTCTGTAGGGCCATCGTTCTCAATGAAGGGTAATTTTTGCCCCCTTGAGGACATGGCAATGTCTGTGGATATTTTTGGCTGACCCAACTGAGGAAGTGCTGCTTGTGTCTAGCAAGGAACGGCTAGGTATGCTGTAAAACATACACGAATCCTCCACCCTAACAACAAAAAAATCTGGCCCAAATGTCGATATTGAATGCTCCAACTGAAAAGCCTTGTGCTAGAGCCTAAATTGCTCATCTACACTGTGATATGAGTTTTCTATAACAATTAGTTGTCTCTGTTTACTTTTCGGTTATTTTTCTTCAAAGGTTTTTTTTGTTTTGTTTTTAATTTTTAGAGACAGGGTCTCACAATGGATAGTCACAGAATCCTGAGCTCAAGCAATCCTCCGACCTCAGCCTCCTAAAGTGCTGAGATTACAGGTGTCAAACAGTGTACCTGGCCATCAATTAATTCTTAACTCTGGGTTTCAACTGCTGCTCAGGCTTTCATTTTTGCTAGAATGGTAGAGGACTTCTCAAAGCCCAAGCCCGCAAATGGACTGACTCATTAAATCCCTTGAAAAGCTAGGCTAATTCTGGGTTTCCTCTGGATATTCAGTAACCTTAGGTAGTTTGAGAAGGAATTACTTTTTGAAAGATCCAGATTGTAAGAAAAAAGAAAAAAAAATCTGTCTCACTAGGGTCCATGAAAGCAGAAATATATCTAGTGGGGCTGTATTATGTTTCTAACTATAAATAGGAACCTTCTAGTTATGTTCTATCATGCCCTTTTCCAATGAAATTTTATTTTAAAAATATTTTTTCATGTTCCTTCAGCCAAGGAATAATAAAGTTCAGAAAGTTTTTTCCAGAATAGAGGTCGAGTTGGGGAACCCTCTGAAATACAAAATCCAAGCAAGAATCAGCATGCAGAACAGCACAGAGCTGATAATCAGTAAATGTCTGAGCCTGGGAACTGACAGTAGTGTTAATAAGAAAGGAAAATTTAAAAAATGTTTTGAAAAGAGAATAATATGGTGACACACTGGCCAGGATGGAGGATGATTCAATTAAAGTTTTTAGTAAGTATCTTATAATACTACAAAACAGCTTCATTCTTCCTGCCATAAGCCAGGTTAATTTTTTTTCTTTTTTAAGAGACAGGGTCTTGCTATGCTGCCCAGGCTGCTGTGCAACTCCTGGCCTCAAGTGATCCTTCCACCTTGGCCCTCATAAACAGATTCTTGTAATTACCTTTCTATCCTTAATTTCATCCTTCTCCATGCTGCTAGAGTGAAATACATTTTACACAAAACACTCCTGCCTAAAACTATTTTATTATAGGTCATTATCTTATGAAACTAAGCCAAACATGATCAGGACACTGCCTTCCTACTTCTTCTACCCTATTACATACTTTTTATGTTTCAAGAATACACAGGCCCCACTGGATCTATTCCTAGGTATTGTGCCTGTGAACCATTTGTTCTGCACTAGAAACATCATGTTTTAGGACCAACACAGCTATACCATTCCCAGAAGGCTGTTCATTATGTCTTATCCACCTAGCCTATTTGCAAAGCAACTCCTTTGTACAGCTCTTGTACTCTGAACATAGCTGTAATCACAAAGTTGGGAACTCTGCATTCAAGCTTTGTGTTTTATCTGTCTCTGTCACCTAGTAGCCCATGAATTCCTTAAAGGTACAGACTGTGTCCTACAGATCTCAACCTGCAGTGTCTGTCATAGTGTCTGAAACACAATACCTAATAAAGTTTACTGAACTTAAACCACAGGAAACTGAACTAAACCAAGAAAGGAATCCGACTGCTATGGCTCTCAAATGTAAAAAGGCAGACTGGTATTTTTTATTTAACAACAAAAACAAAAAAGCTTTTCCTAAGGCAAGCTCATCCAACCCGCAGCCTGCAGCCCACAGCCCGCATGTGGCCCAGGACGGCGTTGAATGTGGCCCATAGAAATTCATAAACTTTCTTAAAACACTATGAAATTTGGGAGGGGATGTTTTTTAAAAGTTCATCAGCTGTTGTTAGTGTTAGTGTATCGTACGTGTGGCCGAAGACAATTCTTCCAATGTGGCCCAAGGAGGCCAAAAGATTGGACATCTCTGACTTTAAGAGAAGGTTTTCAATGGAAGATTTACTTCTCATCTAAGTATAGTTCAAAGTATTTCCTGGGTTTCTTATCAAGAAAAAGTGTGTAAAGTGCATGCACACTGTGAGGAAATTTTTCATGCTGCTTACTGAATATCTTCTAATGCTGTATTTCCTATAATTTAGCTGGCATAAAAAATGAGAGAAACTCTTATAGTGATATGTAAATGTTACTTACAAGTTTTATTTGCAGGTACAGCATTTTATGTCTATTAATTATCTCAGGGAAAATAAATAGCATAAGAAAGCAAAGCACACATGACAAACACTGGAGTTAACAAGGGAGAATCAGTGAGCTCCCAAATTCAAGTCTTGTCACTTCCAAGCCCAGGAATAATTATAAATGACCAGGGAGAATACTGCAATCAGTTGCAGACTTAAAAGAAATTCTGAAGGCCAAGCATGGTGGCTCATGCCTGTAATCCCGGCACTTTGGGATGCCAAGGCAGGCAGATCACGAGGTCAAGAGATTTAGACCAAACTGGCCAACATGGTGAAACCCCGTCTCTACTAAAAATACAAAAATTAGCCAGGGATGGTGGTGCACACCTGTACGCCTAGCTCTTTGGGAGGCTGAGGCAGGAGAATCACCTGAACCCGAGAGGCGGCGGTTGCAGTGAGTCGAGATCGCACCACTGCACTCCAGCCTGGCGACAGAGTGAGACTCCGTCTCCAAAAATAAATAAATAAAAAATATGAAGTCAGATGAGTATTTTAAAATGGATTTATAATAAAAGTCACTTTCTTTCTAATAAATTGATACATCTGCTCGCGCCACTGCACTCCAGCCTGGTGACACAGCAAGGCTGTCTCAAAAAAAAAGAAAGAAAAAAAAAATTGTGGATTGAGCACAGTGGCTTATGTGTGTAATCCAAAAGTACTCTGCAAGGCTGAGGCAGGAGGATCACTAGAGACCAGGAGTTCAAGACCAGCCTGGAGATCATAGCAAAACCTTGTCTCTATATTAAATAAATAATTATGTGCATAAACATAGATATGCATGTTCATATAAATTAATTTGAAAAAAAAAAATGTTAATCACCTGAATCACTGTGGAATAGAGTGGCTCCATTACCTCTCTTTCATTCTGGTGCCCTGATTCTATCAACAGAATTTCAAACTTCCATAAAGAATGTTATGGCCTTTTGTAGCTACTTATTCTTTTTTGTTGTTATGCTGTTTTGATTTGTTTTCACCTCAAACTTTAATTATACTTTATATGCCTACTCATTCTGATGTCACATTTTCAAGTAGAAATTTTCCATACCTTTTTATAACTGAAGTCTTATTCAAACAAGCCATCATCCCCTTGATCTCACACAGTAATTTCTTTTTAAAAAGTTAATATAAAACCTTACATGACATTATCCTTCATTTCTACCAATTAAAGATCTTTCTTTTCCAAACTGCATTCCTTTATCTATTGTATACATTCTACTTTGGCTATTTCCAAAATTGAAGTGTTGCCTCCAATATTTGCAATATGATAACAAGGAGACGAACATGACCAGATATTAAACTTTAGCATTTACCCAAAAACTGTGCTTTGAAAAAAGACTTTATGAAACAAAGTGTTTTAAAAATCAAAGGGTGTGGTCTCGAGAATATGAGAAATATTTGGAATGTGTCTGTGTGCTGTATTTGTTTAATAAATAGTATGCCAGACTGAGCAAAATGAGCAGATGAAACCCTATCTCTATTTAAAAATACAATAAAAACTAGCTGGGCATGGTGATGCACTTGAAAGGCAGAGCTGGGAGGATTGACTGAGTTGGAGAAACTGAGGCCACAGTGGGCCAAGACTGCGCCACAGCACATAGTATGAATGAAAGCAGTAAAACCCTGTCACAAAAAAAGAAAAAGGCACGATGCTCTTTTTAAAACAGCAAACCCCAATGAATCTAGCAGATTTATCAATTTATTAGAAAGAAAGCGACTTTTATTATAAATCCATTTTAAAATACTCACCTGACTTTATTTTATTTATTTGTTTTTGGAGACCGAGTCTCACTCTGTCACCAGGCTGGAGTGCAGTGGGGTGATCTCAGCTCGCTGCAATCGCTGCCTCCCGGGTTCAAGCGATTCTCCTGCCTCAGCCTCCCACGTAGCTAGGACTAGAGATGCATGCCACCACGCCAAGCTGATTTTTGTATTTTTAGTAGAGACTGGGTTTCACCCTGTTGGCCAGGATAGTCTCGACATCTTTACCTTGTGATCTGCCCACCTTGGCCTCCAAAAGTGCTGGATAACAGGCGTGAACCACCAAGCCTAGCTGACTTTGTATTCTTTTTTTTTTTTTTGAGACAGAGTCTTTCTCTGTCGCCAGGCAGGAGTGCAGTGGCGCAATCTCGGCTCACTACAACCTCCGCCTCCCGGATTCAAGCAATTCTCCTGCCTCAGCCTCCTGAGTACCTGGGGCTATAGGCGCGCGCCACTATGCCCAGCTAATTTTTGTATTTTTTTTTAGTAGAGACAGGGTTTCACCATGTTTGCCAGGATGGTCTCAATCTCTTGACCTCGTGATCCGCCCACCTCAGCCTCCCAAAGTGCTGGGATTACAGGCGTGAGGCACCGCACCCGGCCGACTTTGTATTTTTAAGCTATTAAGTATCTCTATATAAACTATATAAATGGAAGATGTTAGTGGAAAACACTGAGGTGGAGAAGTCTTTTATTTCTCTTTGCGTAACTGTAAACAATTCCAGCTTACTGAATTGCAAGTTTAAAAGAAAAAATCAAACACTCCACAGATTCTACCTGCAGGAGAGAAAATGCACTATTGTGTAATACTGTGGTTTTCTTGGATGTCTTTAGTGTAAACAGCAGCTCAGTCATTCTTACCTCACTGTTATTTACTATCCACTAATCTTAAAAATATGAAAAAGGAGAAAAGTGAGCATCAATGTGCAACAGGAAAAAGAAAAATTGCTGTTCCAGTCATTATTATACAACTTACTTTCTCTCCAGAGCTCAAAGATTTCAAAACAGCAATACAAAAGTATGTTATAGTCACCCATAAATACTGAAAACACTATTCATTTTAATTAATATTAAAATCTAGCAGATATGGCTATACAAAATAGTCCTGAAAGTAAAAGTGAGTCAGTCAGCACCATAGGAAAGATATTTAAATAAATAAGTAAAAAGTGAATGAGCAAAGCTCTTTGTGTGTCACTGATACTGAATGTCCATATGGGAATAAAAGACGCAAAAAAAAAAAAAAAACAAAAAAACACACACACACACACACACAACAAGGATTTGTTTTGATTGTGATCACAACAAAGAAAGATGGGATTAGGGGAAGAAGCAGAAAACAGAGAGCAAGAAAAAGTAAAAGAGAAATATAAAAAAGGAACGGAAATAGTCTGATGCACTACTGATACGTCTACAGTAATTACAACTATCGGAACAACATGAAAAACCAAATCAAAGCAGTACAGCGACCAAAATATCACCAAGCCCACTCTGTGGTCTGGGAACCCAAAGGGCACCAGGCTCTTTTAGGAGAACTGTGATGTCAAACAGTTTCCTTGATAATATTAAGACATTACTGCCTTCTTCATTATGCTGACATTTGCATTCATGATGCAAAAGGAGTGTCGACATCTTAGGACAAATCCAGGCAATGACACCAATTGTCTTAGTAGTCACTTTATTCCTAACTGTCCCACACACAAAATCAGTCAGCTTCACTTAAACATCCTCAATGAATCTATAAAAATTACCAATTTAATAATCTAAAAACCTAACTACATGTTTTTAAAATTCCATGCTATCAAATGGGAGATACAAAAAATGATTTAACTATCAATTATCAAAGTATGATGGTTATCTAAAGGAAAACACGTGTGTGATTGAGTTTTCAACTCCAGCAGACACCTTTTTAAACAGAATACCATAGATGAATTTAAAATGCTAGTCACAGGCCAGGCACAGTGGTTCATGGCTATAGTTCTAGAACTTTGGGAGGCCAAGATGGAAGGACTGCTTGAGTCCAGGGGTTTGAGACAGGCCTGGACAACACGGTGATACCTTATTGCTACCAAAAAAAAAAAAAATACAAAAATTAGCCAGGCATGGTGGCACATGCCTGTAGTCCCAACTATTCGGGGCTGAAAGTGGGAGGATGGCTTGAGGACAGGGGGTAGAGGCTGCACTGAGCCATGATAAGGACCCTGCACTCCAGCCTGGGTGACAGAGTGAGACCCTGCCTCCAAATAAAACAAAACAAAATAAAATGCTAGTCACAGAATCTTAGCAACACATCCCACATGCAGATAACAGGGCTCTGCCATTAATCTGCTTACCTCCAAAAGTAGAAGGGTCTCCTGTTCAGTCCATTCTCTTCCAGCACTAGCACCCTTACTCTAAGGAAACAAAATGAGAAATTATTTGCTCATTTTTAAATGTTGAATATAGAGCTCAGCAGAATTCCTTTCCAAGCTCAGGAGACTGTTTTTTTGCAAATCATCAATGGGAGTCTCTGACTTGCAGAAACTAAACACTTGGCCGGGCGCGGTGGCTCAAGCCTGTAATCCCAGCACTTTGGGAGGCCGAGGCGGGTGGATCACAAGGTCAAGAGATCGAGACCATCCTGGTCAACATGGTGAAACCCCGTCTCTACTAAAAATATAAAAATTAGCCAGGCGTGGTGACTCATGCCTGCAGTCCCAGCTACTTGAGAAGCTGAGGCAGGAGAATTGTTTGAACCCAGGAGACAGGGATTGCAGTGAGCCAAGATGGCACCACTGCACTCCAGCCTGGGCAACAAAGCGAGACTTCGTCTCAAAAAAACACAAAACACAAAAAAAACTTCCTGCTGTCAAGCAAGGACCCATAACCATGTGGATATGTTATTTCTATTATTTTGAGACTTAACAGTTATCTTTTGCAAGCTAAAAAGGCATATTATTTTATTGCATACCATAAACCAGCTGTAATATCACAAACATAATACAAATCTTGGTAGAGAGTATTTGAACAGAGTACCTGAACATAGTATTTCTCCCAAGATTCAAGAATCCGAGGTACTACAGACATAAAACACTGACAGGTTCTTGATTCCAACTGCAATACGTCCATATTATCTGATTTTAAAACATCTCTCAATTATAAAACAATCTCCAAATGATTCCCTAAACTCAAAATCACCTTTTCCATGTGAGTCCCTTATAGTTTATGATTCACGTCACCATGTGAGTGTAAGAGAAGTCAGACTGGCTTGTGTAAAAAGTACAATTTATCGATTAATTCATACTTCTTGATCTGCAGACCGTGCTGCATTCACTCATCTTCAGGAGAGCTGATTGGTAGTATAGCTGATATTATCATGTAGCTAGAAACATTACTAATTGAAAATATACGTTCTAACACATTTCCCTTTCTCAAAACTCTATTTTGAGAGATTACAATTTAATAAATGAAGATTTCTACAATCCATGATTTCTCTATATATTATCAATAAAGCTTCTCCATTTAGATAATTAAAACTCTCAGTGTATTAGTGCTACACAGTTCATGAAAAAATCAGATTCTGTATGAAAGAAAAAAGAAAAAATTAAAACAACAAAATTAAACCCTGATTTGATGCATCTCTGGGGTACTCAAGTAATAGTATTCTGAAGTATCTGTTTACTTGCAAAAAAAAAAACAAACAAGCAAAAAATAATGCATCAAAAATAAGTAGTCTTTTAACTAGAGAATAAAAACAGTTGACCTACACACTGCAGAATTAAGAACTAAACTCCTACAGTATGGCTCTGTGAGAAAGAAAAGATGCCTGCATCTGTAACTCAGAATGTATTGTTCATTCCCCAAGGATTACTTTAAGATAACCCAAGATCCTTTTAAAAAACCAAAATCAGAGGTAATCACTAATCAGATTTGGAGTCCCAAGAACAAAATTCATTAACATTTAATTTAAATTCTGAAGAAACCAAACCTGAGCAAATATAAAGATCGCTACAACCAGACACCGGCATTTATTTATAGAGTAGGTCCTCGACCATCATTTCTTCACTCCTCAGCCACAATGAGCACAATGAGTAGCAAGAATATTCTCTGCCCCACAGACTTAAGTCAGTAAAGTCAGTATTTCTTCTGTCTTTTTTTTTTTTTTTTTCCCCCTCATAGACTCACTCTTGCTGCATAGGCTAGAGTGCAGTGGCATGATCTCGGCTCACAGCAACTTCTGCATTCTGGGTTCAAGCAATTCTCAAGCTTCAGCCTCCTGAATAGCTGGAATTACAGGTGCCTGCCACCACACCTGGATAGTTTTTGCATTTTTTTTTTTCAAGTAGAGAAAGGGTTTCAGCATGGTGGCCAGGCTGGTCTTGAACTCCTGACCTCAGGTGATCTGCCCATCTTGGCCTCCCAAAATGCTAGGATTACAGGAACGGGCCACCACGCCCAGCCTGTTTCCTCTCCTGATAACAACCGGCTTTACAAAGAGCATACATAAGCCTCATCAGAACCCATAAAATGACTGCTAAAGTTTCCATATGATTTTAAAATATTTTTCTATTGTATTAGGCTGGGCATGGGGGCTCATGCCTGTAATCTCAGCACTCTGGAAGGTCGAGGCAGATCAATCACTGCATCTCAGGAGTTCAAGATCAACCAGGGCAACACAGATGTACTCTCTTAAAAAAAAAAAAAAAAAAAAAAAAAAAAAAAAAAAAAAAAAAAAAAAAAAAAAATGAAAGAAACACTCGAATGATAAGCATAGAAATGAAAGAAACAAACGAAACAAAACAAAAAGGCCCTGCGCAATGGCTCACACCCATAATCCAAGCACTTTTGAGGCCAAGGGGGATGGATAACCGGAGATCAGGAGTTTGAGACCAGCCTAGTCAACACCGAGAAACCCTATCTCTACTAAAAATACAAAAATTAGCCAGGCGTGGTGGTGCACCACTATAATCCCAGCTATTTAGAAGGCTGAGACAGGAAAATCTCTTCAACCGCGGAGGTGGAGGCTGCAGTAAGCCAAATTGCCCCCCTTCACTCCAGCCTGGATGAAAGAACGAAAAGTGTCTCAAAAAAAAAAAAAAAAAAAAAAAAAAAAGTTCTTTTGTATTTCTGGAGGCCTGATACATATACAAAATACACAAACTAGGATACAACTTGATACAATTTTGCTTATAAAACAATGTAACAATACTGAAATAAAAACCCAAAAGGCTTTGATAGCCTTTGATAGCCATTCACAAAAGTATATACTAGTCTGACTTCCATAGGTTAGTTTTTCTCGGATCTGAATTTTATATTAACAAAAACACCCTTTTGTGGCTGCTATATAATTCCTTGGCTTGTAGTCACCTCAATCCAATCTCTGACCCCAAAGTCACATTCCCTTGTCCTTTTCTGTCAAATTGCTCTCTTCCCCTCTCTTACAAAGACAGTAGTTATGACATTCAAGGCATCCAGGGATAATACAGGATCATACCCTTATCTTTAAGATTTTTAGCTTAGGCTGGTGGCTCATGCATGTTAATCACAGCACTTTGGGAGGTTGAGGCAGGCAGATCACTTGAGAACAAGAGTTTGAGACTAGCCTGGCCAAACTGGCAAAACTCCATCTCCACTAAAAATACAAAAATTAGCCAACCACGGTGGTATGTGCCTGTTGTCTCAGCTACTCGAGAGGTTGAGGCATGAGAATTGCTTGAACCCAGATGACGGAGGTTGCAGTGAGCCAAGATCTCGCCACTGCACTCCAGCCTGGGTAACAGAGCAAGACTCTGTCTCGAAAACAAAAACAAAAACTAAAATAAAGTATTTTTAGCTTGATAACACATCAGCCAATAACTTTTCACTAAATAAGGTAATACTTACGGGTTCCAGGGATGAGGCTCTGACTTCCTCAGAGGACCTTTATCAGCATATTTCATGTTATATTGTTTTTAGAAATTTGTCCATCTCATCAAAGTCAAATATATCACTATCAAGTTGTTCATCAAATCTTTTTTTTTTTTTAAAAAAACAGGGCCTCACTTTGTCACCCAGGCTGAAGTGTTGCGGCCTCGACCTCCCAGGTTAAAGTGATCCTCCTGCCTAAGACCCCACAAGTAGCTGGGATTACAGGCATGCACCACCATGCCTGGCTAACTTTTGTATATTTTTGTAGAGACAGGGTTCTGCCATGTTACCCAGGTTGGCCTTGAACTCCTGAGTTCAAGTGATCCACCCACCTCAGCCTCACAAAGTGCTGGGATTACAGGTGTGAGTCACCACACCTGGATGTCAAATCTTTCTTGTCTTTTTAACATATTAGAGTCAGCAGTGCTATACTCTTTTATGGCTGATCAGTAGTTTCTGTCTTTTCTTAATGATCACTCTGGCTGAAGATTATTATTAATAAATAATCAATAAACTTGATAATTTATCAATTTTGGATCTTTTCAAAGATCCATCTCCAAATTTAATTAATTTTCTCTATTTCTGTTTGTTTTGGATTTTTTTTTTTTTTTTTTGACTTACAGTTTCACTCGTGGTGCCCAGGCTGCAGTGTAATGGCGCCATCTTGGCTCACCACAACCTCTGCCTCCCAGGCAGTCTCCTGAGTACCTGGAATTACAGGCATACACCACCACACCTGGCTAATTTTGTATTTTTAGTAGAGACAGAGTTTCTCCATGTTGGTCAGGCTGGTCTCAAACTCCTGACCTAAGGTTCAGCCAACCTTAGCCTCCCAAAGCACTGGGATTACAAGCATGGGCCACCACACCTGACCTGTTTTGGATTTTCTAGTTTAATTTTATTTTGTGTGGTCAGCCAACTTCATTTATTTCACATCTCTGAAATCATAAAACCTAACTGTATGATTTCAATCCTTTTAAATTATTGAGGCTCATTTTATGGCTCAGAATTGGGTCTTCGGTACTAAAAATAGAAATACTAAATAAGACCTAGGATTTGCCAGCACAACAAGGTGATCATAGTAAACAAAAAATTTAATTTTTCATTTAAAAATAACTAAAAGCATTTAAGTGGATTTTTAAAACACAAAGGATAGGCCAGGTGTGGTGGCTCATGCCTGTAATCCTAGAACTTTGGAAGGCCGAGGCTGGCAGACTGCCTGAGCTCAGGAGTTCCAGACTACCCGGGGCAACATGGTGAAACCCCACCTCTACTAAAAATACAAAACTTATCTCGGTGTTGTGGCAGGCACCATCCCAGCTACTCAGGAGGCTGAGGCAGGAGAACTGCTTGAACCTGGGAGACAGAGGTTGCACAGAGTCAAGATCGCATGACTGCATTCCAGCCTGGGTGACAGACTGAGACACCGTCTTCAAAAGAATAAAATTAAATTAAAATAAACAAAAAACACACACAAACAAAATTAATGCTTGAGGTGAAGAATATC